ACAAGTTCCTGCACTCGGGTGACCGCCGCTACATTGAGAAGCCGCTCAAACCCGCACCTCAACCCATCATCACCAAGACAAAGGTAAATAATACGTAAATTGTTCATTTTGAAGTGCTTTATGAAGAATACTAGACCTCAAGAGATGCAAAAGTTTTTAATTTGAATAGAACATTAGAATTTAAAAAAAGCGCCATCTAGTGGCATAAACAAGTTAATTTTGATACTTTTCTTAATAAATTATGGTCCAATGCATTCTTTTTCATTTAACATATCGAATCAATCTAAGAAACAAAATATGTTTTCGTTAGTCAGGTTTTATTTACTACAATTTGAACCTTATTTCTTGTGTATAAAGGTGACAATCGACCCGCCAAGCAAGTCGCAGGCGCAGGCGCCGCGGCCCAAGTACTCCCCACAGAGCTCTATCGAGCCCGGCAAGAAGAAGTACGGAGCCAAGCTCGGAGACTCTGACTCCACCTCCTCAAGATCTAGAAGTGCTACTAAGGAACTAGTCTGTGAGTAAACACTCTTGGAATTTTTATTGCCTAAATTGCTAAATTTCTTACCATGTTTCAGGATTTTAGTAGCTTCGAAGGTCAGCCATTACGATACTAGCAACATGTAAGGGTAGAGGAATGTTTTACAGCAATTTACTTGATTTTTGATAAATTTTAATTTTGGGACTTTAAAAAAGCCTTTGCGTATCATTGTGTTTAAATTTGATCAAGAAAGATGGCATTGTTATTTATTTCTCTTCTTAAATTCAATCCGTGCCATCCTTTGTGTGATAGAGGGCGTTAGTAGTCTTTAAGACTGCTGTTGTACAGCGCGAGAAACTTATCTGGACTGAGGGCGTTACTATCGCAATTTTGTCAAAAATATTCATAATCTACAACGCCATAGAAACTGTCAAAAGAGAAAACTTGACAAGACATCTACAGTACGACAAGGATTTTGACACATTTTTGACATTTAAAGTGGGTCGCTAGTGAGCTGTTTAGTTTGACAGATGACAGTGGGCATCTGTCAAACTAAATAAAGAGAGAACTTTGTGGATGTATACTGAGTCAATTGTATCTTAGTGCCAGCATCAGACTCGTCGATGTGCGCGCCATCTTTCGCGCGTGCGTTGCCGGATGCTGTGACAGCGCGTGACGCGGCGCCGCTGCTGTTGTCGTGCAGTGTGCGCGGTGACCCCGACCCCCGTGTGGAGTGGTACAAGGATGGTCAGCCGCTGCACTCCTCTGAGGTATGTACTATCAGGGAAACTCGCGGTATACCATAAGCGAGTCGTTTGAATGTTTCTTAAGTACAAAAAAGTTATCTGTACATGACTAATGGCTTACTATTGTGTCGTCATCTGCGCAAGTAAATAAATTAGTAATTTGTTTGAATGGTCGGTATTTGTGTTGTTGCAAGGAATAAAGTAATTTTTCTATAAGTCGGTCACCACAAAGTGCCCTGACTGTATGCGTTGGATTGATTTTACTCCATGATGCAAGAGAGAGAGAGAGAGAGAGAGAGAGAGACAGAGAAAGAAACATTGATATGTTGGTTACATAATGAAGTTTATTTGATATAAATATGAACAAAAAAGCGCAGTAACAAACAGACAGACAAATGTATGTATGTGTGTGTTGCAGGTGGTGAACCTGAAGTACAAGAACAGCGTAGCATCACTTGCGATCGCGGAAGTGTTCCCCGAGGACGAGGGCGTGTACTCGCTGAAGGCCATCAACAGCCAGGGCGAGGTCGAGACCAAGTGCAACGTCACCGTTAAACGTTAGTACAACTAAAACTGACTTGTTATTAATAACTTAAAGAACAAAAAATAAAATATTTTAAATTTGTAAGGAAAAAAAAACAAGAAAAACTTTATTTATAATTTGTTTTATTGTGTAACGAAAACAAATATTATTTTTTGTGACTGCTTAGCGGCGGAGAGCGCGCCCACTGGCGGCGTCAAGTTCGGTGACAAGCCGCCCAGGATCGTAGACCACGCAGTGTCACAGATCGTCAATGATGGTGATGCTGTCACCTTGTCCTGCAGGTCAGATATATAACATTATACCAGCAATATATTACACTAAAAGTTTTAACAACTGTGTCTCCCTCTAACAACTTTTTTTTGACCTTAGTACAAGGCTCTTTTATTCATTGCGTAGGATTGTCGGCGCGGAGAGGTTCGACGTAGTGTGGCTCCACAACTACAAAGAAATCAAGCCCTCCAAGGACTTCCAGTACTCCAGCGAAGCCAACATACACAAGCTGCACATCGCTGAGATATTCCCAGAGGATGCAGGTCAGTAACTGAAACAAGATAAACTTATCAGATTATATTTACACGACTTTGAAGGATAGTTGAAAGGGAATCGAATTTTTAATTACAACGACATCTAGCGAATGTTTATTCTAATTTTAACGTTTGTCTTATATCCAGGTGTGTACACATGTGAAGCGTTCAACGACGCAGGCGAGTCGTTCTCGTCGTGTTCGTTAGTGGTGCGTGTGTCGGGCGAGCAGGCAGCTACTCCGCAGTACGCCGCCTTCCCCGCCTCCGTCACTGTCGCTGCAGCCGAGCCTGCTGTCTTCACTGCGCAGTTGGAGCAGGTAACAAACCTTAATAATAAGCAACAATAAAGAAACAATTTAGAAACATTCAAATTGGACATCTCTCAAATTACTAAGGTTTTTTCGTCTTCCAATTTTCGTCGTCCTGGGCTATATATTTGAGGCCCCTTTTTTTGGTCGCAGGCGCCAGAGTTTGACAATGCGTATATAAAGAGGTATTATGGTCGGCGCCCTAGGCGATCGTCCCACCTCGACCTACCTTAATGCCGCAAATGCATACTTACCGTGAACTCTAGGGTCACCAGAATCATTCATCATATCTTACAGCAGTCAATGAAACTTGTACTTCGTTTTCAGCCACCACTCCAACTGCAATGGTTGAAGGACGGCAAACCTATCGACGAAAGTTCGCCGCGCTACAACTTCACGATGGAGGGCGCCACCTACCGCCTGGAAATAACAAAATGCAGCTCTGACGACAGCGGACAGTATCAAGCACGCGCTGTCGGCAACAAGGGAGACTCCCTCGCCGCTTTCTATCTCAATGTTGTCGACAACTAGACAACAACTGACTGGACCCAAATTACACCCCTGCGGTACACCAAGACTTTATACAAACTTACAAATAAATTAATCTCGAATATTAAACTGGAATACGATTTTTATACAATTCGGAGTCTAATGTAAAGGAGTTTTTTTTATATTAAATTATTTATTAATATATTAAGTAAATGATAAGTGTTACACCCTATCGAATGCCTATGAGAAATCGCTTGGAATATCGAATCCTCGCTCTCTAGTCACTTTTAAATGTTATTTTATTATTTATTGTCGACATTATTCAGTTGTTACGTTGTTTATTTAACAGAAAATCGCAGCTTCTATTTGAAAATTTATAAGCTTTGAAGTTAATCAATGTTGCTTTAGTTTTGTGCCGGCGGCGCGCGGGGGCGCCCTGTCCGCCACCACAGGCCGCTCGTCGCGACATCGCCGGAACAAATCCTAATTATTTTTATATAAATTGTATTATTTAATTGTACATAACTTATATCATGCGACAGCGTAATTTATAAATAAATATGTATACCTTAAAAATTAAAATGCTGTTTTATTTTTTAAGTCTTATCCTTTCCATAGATGGCAGCACAATACAACTTATGTAAGAAATTATTTGTAAATATTGAAAAAAGGAAAAGTAAATGTTAGTAATTTCAAAAATCAAAATTCATCTAGAATTTAGAAGAAAAGAACATAACTAGTTAACAAAAAACATCTTATTTATCATTACTTAAGTTTTTGTCGTAAACGGCGACTTATTCGAGAGATAATTTCTAAATAAAACTTAAGTAATAAATATTATTACAGTCTATATAAGTTTATGTACAATTTTTAGATATAAACATAGCAAGTTAAGACGCAGGCTAAGTGGCGGTAACAATCGGAACAACTCGCATTCCGAACATGTAACGTGACTTAGCACTAACTCGCCCCTCATTCAAACACATAGATCTTATTTTAAAATATGAAATCCTGAGAAACGAGTTGAGACGTCGATGCTTTTTCATTACTTTTTTTTCAAATCAGAGACAACCGGCTAAGTCGGCGAGAGATTTTATTATTTATCATTTTAACGATCTTATATCTTGCTAGTTTCACAATAATAACTTTAACGATGTAATTCTTCTTCTACTTCTACTTCTTGGTCGTTTTCAGACTGGTCGTGGCCAAGGAGGCGCCGCCACTGCTCCCTCGTCTGCCTTTTTTGTACATTGGTTTAGAAGGACATCTACAGCAGCTCTGATCTGGTCGAATATCAAAGGGATGAACACTGCAAAAGTAACATTGTTTTTTTATATCATAAGGTGGCAAACGATCAAGCGTCCTCTTGAAATCTCTGAAATAGTGAAGATACCGTTGCATAGACATACGCAATTGAAGATGCGTTGCTTACCTTTAATCGACGGAGGACATAAAGAGAATATTTTCCCTTCCCATGCATACCGTCATCCGGAAACTCAACTTCCACTTCTCATCCTTTCCTATAAGAATAGGGTGGGAAGGAAAGGAGACTAAAGTTAAGCCTCTGGTACCTCACTCATCAGGCGAAACGCGGAATTTCTTCCGCTTGACGGATGACTGGCATATTCGTGCGAAGATGTTTCTACCAATTAAACGACAATGTGATTATTAGATGGCAGTAGTTTAGTTTAATATAAAACATTTTTGTGCCAATGATGTAGCATAGTGTATCTTTCAGTAATAATGAAAAAATATATTCAACTAACCTTCCCTAAGCCCGCGACTCCGTCCGCGCGGAATTAAAAAAAAACTTGATTAGTGTAGCCCATATGCTCTTCCGGACTACGTTTTATATTTATGCTAAAATCTGAACGTGAAATACTGTCTTTGAGCTGCGCGTGGTACTGGACAGTGCTTGGACATTGCTACGTTCCTTATTTTTCTAAAATAAAAGATTTTACTGAAATAACCGTAGCTTAAGTTACTCCTTATTACATAAGCTACCTGCCAATAAAAATCCCGCCAAAATCGGTCCAGCCATTTCCGAGAAAAGCCTTAACAAAAACAGATAGACAGACAGACAAACTTGGTAAAAATATTTTTTTTACTTTGTATCACAATAAATATTCTTTTCAAACTAGTTTAACAAATTCGACTCGACTTCCGTACGTGATTGTACTTCAATTCATTCCAAACTCCATACAATATAGTTTATTAGGAGATAATATTTAAATAGAGGCATTCAGTGAACACAGTAACAAATTCTAACGCACCAATTAAAGATTCGTTATGACGCCGGCCCACTGCTGGGACTATAAACATATTCATATCACAACCAATTCATATACGACCCTATAATAGTAAAATTAATGCTCAATA